AGCACTGTTAGAAGACCACTGTTCTAATTCATTAATTTCTGCTTTTATCTTTATTGCTTCCTTCCTCCTGTGTTCCATAGGCTTGTTTTGTTGCTCTTTCCTGATTTTTTAAGTTTGGTGCTTTTTGTGTTTATTTTCATTCTTTCTTATTTAACACTGAAAATATTTAAGTACATAAATTTGTCACAGTACAATTCTGGTTATGTCTTATAATATTTTATATAGACTATTTTTTCCTTATGTGGTAATTATACCTTTTGAGTTTTTCTTTGACCCATGATTACATATATATAGGAGTGTGTGTTTTCAGTGTCTAAATGTGGAGGGGTATGCTTACGATTTTTAATATTAAGTTCTGGTTTTATTTCATTGTGGCCATAAAATAAGTTCTTCCTAAATTTAAGTTTTTAAGAAATTATTGTTGTTTCTTTGTAATCCAGTGTTTGATCAACTTTTATAGACTTTCCATGGCAGTTTGTAAAGTATGTGTTCTTGTTTTTAGGTTACAAAGCTTAGTTCCCTTCTGTCATGTTTCTTATTAATTATATTTGAGTCTTCTATATCTGCACTGTCCAACGTATTAGCCACTCTCTACATGTGGCTATTGAGCATTTGAAATGTGGTTAGTCTGAATGGAAATGTGTTGTAAGTATGAAATGCATACTGAGTTTTGAAGATGTAATACAAAAAAAGCAAAGTATCACAATAATAATTTTTTATATTGATTGCACGTTGAAGTCAATATGATTATATTTTGGGTCTGTTGGGTTGAATAGAAAATTCAATATCACTAAAATTAATTTCACCCCTTTTTTCATGGTTTTAAAAATGAGGCTACAAGGACATTTAAAATGACATGTGTAGCTCAAATTCTGTTTCTATTTGGCAGCACTCTGTTTGATTATTTATTTCTGTCCATGACTAGTAGTGGCATTAAAATTATTTTTTTCAGTGATTTCTGCTTATATTACTCACAATTTCACTGTATATATTTTATTATTATACTATGCTATTTAGCACATAACAGATCACTTCTATTGTGGATTGTACTTTACGTCAAATAATATGACTGTCTTTGGCTTGTTTTAAATTGTTCCTTGAATTCTAGTTTGATATGAATTACTACCATTCTTGCTTT